ATGAATTAGAATGAAATGTTAATTTGAAGCATGAAATAAAGCGTATACATTTGTTTAATTCTGTCATTTTGATGTTCCAGACTTGGGTCATGCTGCAGCCACACAGCAGCAATTTTATTTAAATATGAGCTTTGTGTTAGTAAATAAATAGACTGCTTAAAAGCAAACCAGCAAACGCAACTTACTTTATTTAATAGAACACACGTTAACCAGCTTTCTGGTGTAATCTTAGTACATAATTACCATACCTGATATAAAATGGGCGCTACAAACTCGAGCATTTCGGATCATGTTTTCAGTCCAGTTTTGATGGCCTGCAGCCACAGACGCCTCCGATTTTGTTGAAATGGATGTGCTCCCTTCGGAATTCTGTAAAGTTTCAGTCCACTGCTTGAAGAGAAGCGATTCTGGCATCCATACACGCAACAACCCGACATTTTTATGTGCTCAGAACTTCAAAACAAAGGGTTTAAAACGCTGTTTTAGTATCGAGTGTGAATGAGGAAGCCTTCACTCTCGTTGCCAGGCTGCGCGCGCAACTTTTGATGACGTAGGTAGTAAAAGGGTCTATTGGCCAAATGGGTAAAGAGCTCTATTTGATTTGTTAAAAAACATCATTCTTCTGTTTGATTGAAAGAATGCATTATGTGTAGCAAACATCTGAGCTGACCATTCATTGCAATATTTATCTCTTCTTTGCGGTATGCATATTGCGCATGCTGATATCACGATAACGATATATTTGCAATAGGGCTGTAGCGAATCCTCTATGACATCGACGGCTCGATTCTAAAAAATTGTCTACGTCAGATCCGGTAGTCGACGCACCACGCCCACTTGTTGCATCCCCAGGAGTTTGTAAATAGAGGAGGAATCTGCCTGTTTTTCCTCTAGTTCGCCTTCTTCTCTGCCTTCGCTAACATCTCCGCCAAATACTGAAGACCGGGAACAATGTCCGTCTGCTACTAGATTCAGGGTTTCCCTTACATAGCCGTGGCGGCCCGCCACGGCTAAAATCCCACCGCCACGCCTACAAGATCCCAAGTTTTTTTTTTGCTCCGTTTCCCGAAGAAGCAGCGGGAACTACTATGTTGTCGATTGTGATCATAGCCGGCAGACAGCAAGGAGGAGTAGGCAGGGCAAGGTGAAGTTACAGCATAAGTTACTGAGTTTAAAATTAGAAAGGTAGCAGTGGATATAATGCCTTTTGGTTTACATGTTTCAATAGCATTAAGATAAACGAGTGTTGACGATCTTGACAGGGTTTCCTCCAGTGCTTATTAGGCCAGGTTTTCCTCCCCCCACCTGGCTAAACATCACTTATTCATGTAAAATTTATTTTTTTCATGTCTGACTTCAACCACATCTAATACTGTATTACGGCGTGAGCGCAACAGCGACAACTTAAGCTCGATGTGTGAGCAGCCTGAGAGGTTGGGTGTTTCATCTGAACCCTTAAAACCTCCAGCAGGCTACGCTGCACTATTGACGTGTTAGCGCTAACAACTTAGAGACGTGACATGTCTCGGAGAAAGCGTAAAAACACGTTGGACGCTTCTTCTGAAGCGGGAAAATAACACTTCTTCTTAAGCAGAGCACGACGTCGCCTCGGCTCGTACACGGCCGAGCCGGACTGAGCTCGATAACATTGACCCAGCACAGCCACTGGGTCGTTGGAGCTGCCCCGTGACTGCCTGATGGAAAACCAGCGGGTTTCATCAGACTTGTAAAGTTTCTTGTTTTTGCTGGGGACCCCCTGTATTTTACCGCTCCCTCCTGAAGTCTTCCCCTATTAAAATTTAAAATGATTCTGTAAATACCGTGTATCAATAGAAAAAATCTCTGCCTCTGCCAGCTGCAGTAAATGTAGCTTCCAAATAATAAATAAGAGGTGCATTCATCTGTGTATCTCCTTTGACCCGCATTAGTGATATTTTCAGCACCAGAACAGTGAAGCAAAGAAACAGATTCCTGAGTTTGTTAGTAATTTTATTTAGTAGGTGCATCTAACCTGTTCTATTTTTCTCTGAAATGAGATCAGATCAGTGCTTCTATGGGTTGTCTCCACTCTGCATTAGAAATTTTTACTTTATTTAGAGACGTGTCATAATTTCTCCCCAAGCCCAAGTTTATTTAAACTTGGTAACTTGAACTTAACGTTGGTAAAGCTACTGTTAGCATCTTCGCTAACAGCTTCTTGCGTTTGGATAAGCTGTACCGTTTCGGTTTAGAGCTCATCTTTCTTGTGGTGCAGATCTCCCTTTTATTACATTTAGACTGTTGTGGGTTTCGGTTAAGTTTAAAATATCACCTTGAGTTTGTTTTAACCACCCAGTTTAGAGTTTGGACCTTTGGAGATCCTTATTTTGGTCCAGAACCCTGTAATCTTTGCCCAGTGGGACATCCCTAGTTATTTGTACTTTTGTTTTAATTCCCCACAGGCAGAATTAGTTTTATTATTCCCAACCTGTGGATGGAAAGATTTATGTTTGTTTGTTGTTGTAAATAAACTTGATCATCATTTTAACTTTTGAATCCCAAATTATTGTCCCTTCCTTTTTGTACACAAGCCAAACTCCCCAGGAAGAGTCGTAACACCACTCGCCTCACGCACATAAGTGACCAAAACAAAGCAGTATGGAGACACTCCATCTTCAACCACCTCTCAGGCAGCAGCCTGCACTCCAAGTTCTACACATCACCAGAACATAACCAACCGCAACACAATAAAAGCAGTGTTACACAAAATGGAAGGCCTGTATGTTTATTCTCTTACAGTAATAATTTATCAATTTTTTGAGGAATTTATTAGAGATTTTTTGTTTTTTATTAACTGCAATAGAAAAATAATCATTAGATTAATCATCTAAATAGTCATTAGAATAGTCGACTATTCGATAAAATAATCATCAGAATAATAGTTTTAAAAATAATCGCTTATCCCCAGCCCTAATTTGCAATATATTGTGCAGCCCCAATACATTTCCTGAGATCTCTAGTATGAATGAATGCCTTGTGAGTCAGTCTTTGTGGGGAAAAATAAATACTGGCACTTCTCTTTCAGAAAGTGGAAATTAGCCCATGATGGGGAGAGGGGGGTATGAAAACAAAATTTGGAGTCTTACTAATTATTATGAATGATATTTGGACATCTCGCCTCTGATTGGCTAACAGCAGCATGTCTCCTCCACTGACTTTGTTCACTCTGCAATGTTGATTTTTTTTACCTCCACAATTAAAAACAAGTCTGAAGGAGTTCTGCCATGTTGTGGAGTTGCTAATGCTAACAGTTAGCTTCTAAAAGCCAAGAGGCGCCAACAGCATTCGCTGTCGTGAGCCAAGATGGGTGAGTAGTACAAGAATGTTGATTAGCTGGCTTTTTCTGACCTGAGAGTTTTCTATCGATGGTTAATGCAGGAAATAGGTGTAGTAACCATTTTCACGTTCAGCCTGCATGTGAAATTCTGAGTGACTGATCATAATTCAAAAATACAAAGTTAAAAAGGTTTCTCAGTTAACTTGCTCTTTAAAACAGGACAGGGCCTTTCAGACTATTGCACCCAGACCTTGGAACAGTCTACCTTCAAATCTCCGTGTCTCTTAACACTGTGGAGGTCTTTAAAAATCATCTAAAAACTCACCTTTTCATCCAGGCGTTCCCTCCCTAAATGTTTCAAACAGATGGCTTTGTTCGGGTTCACACCTTCACTTTGTTTATACTCATGATTTTATTTTCTACTTTATCACTGCTATTGTTTTCCTGATGTTTTTTATTGGTTAGAGGTATTTGCCCTGATCTTTATCATGTTGTACAGCGCTTTGTGATTTATATCTGTGAAAGGCGCTATATAAATAAACTTTTACTTAACTTACTTTACTTACTTACTAAAAAAAATCTGTCAATTCTCAGACAGTTGGGTCAATAAACTGCGTGAAAGCCAGCAGAAACAGTATATGTGGATTATGGAAAACCCTAAGAACTGATCTTTTTAATTGTTTTATTGTAAATATGATTAAAAGAAAAATTATTGTTCATAGTCTGCATAAAAAACTAACTAGCGAACCAACTGCACACACACACATAAAGCAAAAATAACCAATTACTGATAAGACCAAGGGAGATGGTCCCTTTATCTAAACAAATCCTCATAATGTTCCGTTTAAGGCATAAAATCAAAACGCATTGATCCAAGACGATCAGTCAACCAGCTACGAAAGCAGCTCATGTCAGAAAGGAACTACAACAGCATTACAATAGGAGTTAAATCATCTACACATTGCTGCCCCCCCCCCACCACCACCACCACCACCACCAATAAGGCTCGACAGATGGATCAAGCACAACACCCCTGCTCTCGTACTTCCCCACCCCCATCCTTTTAATATACCAGATAGAGTGTTATCTAAACTCTAATGCTCAGAGACTCAGAGTATTATTAATATACTGTTGCTAAATAAGGAAAGGCTAACATAACTAAAATATAAAGTGATAAAACAGAAAGATATAAATTTAAAGTAAAACATCAATCTTTGTTGTTTGTTTAATTTTCTAGAAAGAAGTGTTTTTGGCAAATAAGCCAACTAACCACCAATTCTAAACTATAAAAACATTAAAATATTAGATTTTCACATCAAAAGTCACTGGTGTATTGATACTAATAGCCAGTGATTAGAAAGAGTATTGCTTTATTTACAAAGGGGAAGCGAGGTCGCAGAACAAACGCTGTCAGGTTATATGGTGAACTTGACCTTCTGAACCCAGGCTCTTTAAACAAGTTCATTACTGTCAGAAGACTTCTTACCCCCGAACGCCTGCTGCTCTGACTCAATGTGTCAAAGAAAAGCTAGCTGTCCGACTCAAACAGCACTTTTAACCACCTCAATGCTTTTGAAACCATTATGAGAGAAGCAAAGACGTCAGATAACACATCTCAGCCTGGTATTGTGTACATAAAACAAGTGTTCAGCGGACGATGCGGCTAGATGCAGCAGTTACTTACCAAACGTTTGCTGTACCGTGTATGATGATCCTCCATAATCAGTCTACAAAAGAGGAATCGGGTTGGGAATGGGTCATTAGGGTGCACTGAAACAAAACGCAATGACTATTCCAACGTTTTACAGTGGTTTACAATTTAGGGGCAGTGATGGCTTTCTCTGAAATCCGTCCTGCTAACGTTAGCCAACTAGCTACGGTTAGCATCACATAAAATTGCAAACATGTACATTGTGCTTTTGGCATTTCTTATGCAGACAAGTGCCGAAAAAAGTGTCAATAGCTCGACAAGAAAAGAAGACACAGTGTATCGATTTAAATAGCCTGGCGTCATCTGCAAATAGCTCAGCTGACTATCGCTTCTGAAGTCGTCGGCTACCGTTGATGCTAGCTAGTTGTCGTTAGCCCGTCTACAGCAGTTAGAAGCTTTACTTTTTACCTTTTAACTCTTTTCAAACGTAGTGGCTAAAACAATGTGTCCCGACTAGAGCCTTGGAAACATAACCGTGAAGTTCGTTCCCATGTTATGTTGTTTAACCCTCCATATATTGTTCTGTTTATTATTGTGCGATAAAGTTACTCGACGCTCCAGGCCGCCATTTCGGCTAGTCAGAAAACACACTCACACACAAAAAAAACGAAACCGTTTACGGCCCGCCCCCTATCTCACGCCATTGGTCAGATTAAGATCACAGCCTTGCTGTGATAGGACACAGCAGGTGTAATTTAAAGAACTGGATTACATTACCATAGATAATTTTTAGCTTCACCATCTGACGTGTGATTTCTTTGATTTCATTATGACAAAATGAAACACAAAGATACACCATGATTGGTTATATAATGGGATGGATCGTCCACGTTTTTGTGCGTCGAGTGTGTCTTCTAGACACAAAATTAAGGGGAGCATCATGAGCAGAAGAGTCAAATAAACGTATATATTTCCTATGATGTCTTCAGAATGAAACGCCAAGAATGAGGAAAAAACTGAATGCTCGCGACATACGCTAAAATTAGACTGCACCAGGATAATTTAAAAAACAAATGTATGTATTAAAAACCCTAAAATAAAACACCTAAACACCAAATAAACTATGACACAAATTATTGCAAAACAACCAAATATTTCCTCAGTGACAATGAATCCAAAGCAAAGCCAGTTTGAAGCACTTATTATTGTAGAAATGAGACACAAAATAGCTGTGAGGAGATGCAATCTCAACACAAGACACTCACAATAATGCAAATGTTATTTTTACTTTTTAATTATTTTTAAGGTTTATTTCAGCTGCATTTAATGCAGGTATCATTACCACATTTTCATTTAATTCCAGAATGTCAAATCATTTGAGGTGCCATTTGTAAAGCATCCCTTGAATAATAAAGCTGTCCTCAAAATCTGCTATTGTTCCTGTGGGAGTGAGACCCCTTCCACGTTGACTACCTTCCCTTTCTTTGTCACCATTCGACCACACTTATCAAGTCAGAATGACATTCCGATATCAGTGCTGTAGATCCTGGTGGTGTGGATCAGTGAGTCAATGTCTCGCTCGTTCAGGCATACAGCATTATGTCATCCATGTAGAGGAGGTGGCTGGTTGTGGTTCCATTCTTGAGTCTGTATCCATAGCCAGTCTTGATTATTTGGCTGAGAGGGTTCAAACCTATGCCGAACAGCAGTGGGGACAGGACGTCTCCTTGGTATATGTCACGTTTGATAGAGACTATTGAGTTTGCAATGAAGGCTCTCTGACTCCTGTTGATATTGCAACTCAAAGCATTCAGTGATCTACGAGTGCGGCATTGAGTCATAGGCTTTCTTTAACCAATCCTGGCTGTGCACAGGTTGGTGTGTCTGGCTTTGCAGTCTTGGGCGACTGCTCGGTCTATCAGCAGCTGGTGTTTGGCTCCCCTGGTATCTCTACCGATGCCTTTCTGTGCTGTGGTCATGTGGTCTTAAGGTCTTGACTAAGGACCCACACTGGATGTTGGTATAAATAAGAAATCCTAGATCTGAATGAATGAAATGTTTTTATTAAATACTTTGTTCTTTACATACTTGAATGTGCTGACAACAGTCACACAAAACTGATCAATGGAAATCAAATATATTAACCCATGGAGTTCTGGTTTTAGTCACACAAATTTACTACTACTACTACTACTAAACTTTATTTATACAGTGCCTTCACATGGCCCAAGGACCAAACAAAGCGCTGCACAGCAGAAATGAACATAAAAAATAAAAACATATAAAACCATTTAAAAACCAACAAAAACATGTAGATAAAATCTAGGTGGGGGTAGCAAAAAAAAAAGGGGGGGGGGGGGGGGGTCACATGAGGTCTAGCATTGTCTTGCATTAGAATTAACCCAGGGTGAATATACAGTCTTACAAGTGGTCTGAGGATCTTCTGTCAGTAGCCACCCAATAGCAGTCAGGTTGTGCAGCCTCACCACACAAATGCCACCCCACACCATTACTGACCCACTGCTGAACTGGTCATGCTAGAGGATGTTGTAGGCAGCAGAATGTACTCCATGGTGTCCCTAGACCCTGTGTCCCATGTGCTCAGTGTGAACCTGCGTTCACTTGTGATGAGCTCATGGCATCATTTGCAAATCTTGGTGTTCACTGGCCAATGCCAAACATCCTGCACAGTGTTAGGCTGTAGGCACAACCCCCACCTGTGGATGTTGGACCCTCCAACCACCTTCAAGGAGTTGGTTTCTGACCATTTCGGCAGACACTTGTGGTCCGCTGGAGGTCATTTTTCGGGGCTCTGGCAGTGCTCCTTCTGCTCCTCCTTGCACAAATGCAGAGGCAGTAGTCCTGCTGATGGGTTGTTGCCCTCCTGCATGTCTCCTGATGTGCTGACCTGTCTCTTGGTAGTACCTCCATGCTCTGCGCACTACGCTGACAGACACAGCGAACCTTTTTGCCACAGCTCACATTGATGTGCCATCCTGGATGGGCTAAATGGTAAATGGTATGTATTTGTACAGAACCTTTGTAGGGTTCTACAGCTCCCCCAAGGCACTTCACAACACAGTCATCCACCCATTCACACACACATTCACACACTGGTGGGGATGGGCACCGACGTAGCCACAGCTACCCTGGGGCACACTGACGGAGGCAAGGCTGCCGAGCCCTGGTGCCACCAGTCCTTCTGACCACCCTCAGCAGGCAAGGTGGGTTAAGTGTCTTACCCGCAGACACAACAGCAGCATTCTCTGGTCAGTTCCGGGATCGAACCTGCAACCTTCCGATTACTGGACAATAGGGATGTGTATTGGTGAAATTCTGGTGATACAATACGATATATCACAATATATTGCGATACATTCAGCCAGACGATATTGGCAATTGTTTTAGACTGAATTTATTGTAGAAAAATAAACAGCCCAAACCGATATGCAACATGTTAAACATGAGGTATCTGTACCATAATAAGGGTTTTACATTTCAATGGTGGAAACAAAACCCAATGCACACAGCTGCCAACTAGCGGTCGGCGTTTGAATTGCACCAAAAGAAAAGAAAACACACAAATGTTTGCATGTAAATTCTTCCAAAAATTTGATACATGGCTTTTGAATATCAATATAATCCATCCATCCATTTTCATCTGCTTATCCAGAGCTGGGTCGCTGGGGCAGTAGCCAAAGTCAAGAGGCCCAGATTTCCCTCTCCCCAGCCACTTGAGCTAGCTCTTCCAGGGGAATCCCAAGGCGTTCCCATGCCAGGTGAGAGACATAGTCCCTCCAGCGTGTCCTGGGTCTACCTTTAGGCCTCCTCCCGGTTGGACGTCCCCGGAAAAACCTCATCAGGAAGGCGTCCAGGAGGCATTCTGACCAGATCACCGAGCCAATGTAATATTGAAGAAAAATATTTCAAAATATATTGCCATATCAATATTTTCTTACATCCCTACTGGACAACCTGCTCCAACTCCTGCTGTCTCCACCTGAGCCACATGTGTGGGTTGTAGACTCTGTCTCATGCTACTAGAGTGAAAACACCACCAGCATTCATAAGTGACCAAAACATCTACCAGAAAGCAGAGGAACTGAGAAATGGTCTGTGGTCACATTCTGCAGAACCACTGCTTTATTGAGGATGTCTTGCTAATTGTCTTTAACTTCCACCTGTTCTCTATTCCAGTTGCACAATATCACATGAAAATGATCGTCCGTGTTGCTTCCTAAGTGGACAGTTTGATTTCCCAGAAGTGTGATTGACTTGGGAGTTACTTTGTGTCAAGTGTTCCCTTTATTTATTTGGCAGTATCTATCTATAGATTAATCCATGCCTGCCGCTCCATCCAACACTCTTCCAACAAACACAGAGCTGTATTTATAACAGTTGTGACTAACTGGGCCAATCCTAAAACCAGACCCAGGTGAATACAATCCTTCCATATTCTTAAATTATCCTTACAAACTTTATCTCTAAGATCTCTTTAAATAATTACAATACAAAAATAGAAACATCTTTAATTAATCCTAAAAACATTCAATGAAACTAATCTGCCTTCCTAGAGCAATTTCACAGGTCACCCCTCCCATTCCTCCTGAATGGAATGCTCCGGAACCTTTTTTTTTAGGTGCTACAGCTCCCCAGGGACTCTTTTAGCTGGAACAACTCCAGAAGCACAAAGGAAACAAGTACAAACACTCATTTACCACTTTAAATCCTCAATATTCATACCAACTCTTCTTCTTACAGGTCCAAACGAGTCACCCTTTTTAAATAAACATTAAAACAATAGTTATTGAGCCTGGTTTCATTTATCCTACAACCATAGCAAAAGTCTGTGTCATGGACTTGCTACATTACAGCCAGGATCCATAATGCTCATCAACTGTAGCATTTACATCATGCAAACAGATGATATTAAACAAACTCAGACAAGAAGAGGCATTCAGATCACTTGGTTTTTTTTATTACATAAGCTTTACTGAAGACTTCAAACTCATAGACCACCCATCACAAAATCACACATTTTAATGGAAGTTATGGCAAACACACAAGTCAGAAAAATAAAAATAACATATTTTTGATATGATCAAGTCCTAAGGACTTGTCATGATAAATTTGCACAAATAAATCCTTCTTCCTATAAAGCACCACCAGGTGGCGCTAGATCACAACGGAGCATAGAAACCTTTAAGATTAAAAGTCACATGTTGATCCAGCTGTCTGAGAACAGGCAGACTGAGAAAAATCCACATATTAGGACACGTTTTCAGACACTTAATACAGAAGAAAGGTAGTCCGCATGGAAGGGAAATGGAACAAGTCTGATGTAGTTTCCTTTTTTATTTTTAGAATGACTTTATTATACTTAAAAATTAAAACGAAGGTTGGGACACAAACAGGACAACACCACAGGAAATGTTTCGTCTTTGAGAGATTTCCGTATCCCTAGGAAGAACAAAAACACATCATGAGGTTTAAAAGTGCAAATAAAACAGATGCACTGTTACAGACCTGTAAAATCTTTTATGAGAAGAAGCTGTAGAGATAGGAGAACCCGACGATCCCAATGATGGCACAACACAATGTAATCATCATCTTTTTCTGGAGATTTGGACAGAAAAAAAAACACTAGTCAGATAAACAGAAGTGAAATTAGTCTTGAAGCTCCCAACATAATATTACTTTACTTATGGGCACTGGTTTGAGGAAATATCAAAGAACAAGGATCAAAAAGGTTAGGGTGTGGGTGTGTGTAATAGGAAGCATGACACAACTTACCTCCTCTTCAACACTTTACAACATAGTCATTATGACGCTGACAGCAGCTACAAGCGGACTATAAAACACGTTAAAGCTTTTCTATTAATCTCGTGACTCACAGACTGAACAACAAGCAGCTCTAAAAAACAAGATATCTTTAATTCATTTCAAACAATGGACATTCAACATAAGAACGTGCAACAAGTAAAGCGTTCCCCCTATTCCTTTTGTGATCCGTGGCCACAAAAACCATATTAGAGGGGTCCTGAAATGTCAAACATATGGGCTCTGGTTCAACAGATGACTTCGATTTATAGCAGCTTTTCCTTTTATCCTCACATCAGAAACCATTCACTTTATTTAAATATTAGACGTTTGATCATTGGTCTGGTTGTTTGCTGATTGGTTTTACCAACATTTCCTTTCCCTCATTTTTACCAGCAAATGCAAAGACAATAAAGAAAAAGAACATATATTGACTGTTGAATGTGGAGTTGAATATTTAAAAAACAAACCTGTAAACTCAACTGTGCATTGAGTGGAAATATTATCGGAGGCTGGGCGTCCACTTTTGTTTAACTCAAATAATAATAATAAACATAGTAAATACAATAAATATATGGTCTAATTTGGTTACTGCTGGAAAATAATTAACCTCTCTTTAAATTCTTTGGTAATAAAACATCTTTTTAAATCACATTAAGCAATAATATCACAGTAACATCTAAAGAAGTTAAAGTCTCAGGTCTTCTTAAGAGCCCGTTTGAATTATTGAACTATTGGGACATGTTTATGACTGGGCGTCAACACAAGTATTAATTCTATTAATTACATGATAATTACAGAAATCTGAGCTTAATTCAATAATGTTTTACAAGACTGAAAGTGCTTAAACTCCCCCAAACGAACAAGACCCCAGAGAGGTAAACATTGATCAGCATCCGTGTCATTAAATGTGTCGAGGCTCAAGCGGGCAGGGAACAATGATCCAGGAGGCCGTTATGGTGTGAAGCGCAACAAACGACAAACACAAAAGGAGAAACTTTGGCATCAAATGTTCGACAATGAAATGCTGTGCGACACTGGAGTGACAAAGGGATCAGTTATTTTCCATTTCCCGTTTTGTAGAGGTTCTGTGTTTTGGAGCTCAGGTCAACTTCCAATTCCTCATTTTCAGCAACATCCAAAAGTGACGTCATCCTCTTCTCTTTTTTTAGAAGATGTAATGCCACACCTTTAAAGTATTTATTTTTACTAGTGGGTTGTGACTGATCCTAATGAGTGGAGTTCTGTCTTTGTGGATCGAGTCACGAAGAGATGAGGGGACTGGGTGGTGAAAACAGATGATTGCAACAGGAAGTAGTCCTACTTTATGGTCTGTGTGAGGATAATGATGATGATGATGACCAGGACCACAGCACAGCACACACCGATGATGATCATTTTCTACAGAGGGGGAGACACAGAGACATCAAGATGATGGTGTTAATTTCTGAATGCAGGGATTATTCCCACAAAGAAAATAACCAGATGACAAACGGTGCTACTGAGTGACGACTTTTTATGACCACAGCTAGGCGATACAGAACAGCAGAAAAAACCCCACCCACTCACACACACACACCCACACACACACCCGAGTGCTCCAAAAACAAACCAACCTCACAAAAGCTCCTTGGACAAACAAAACATGCAGCCTGGAGGGGAACTCTTCACCAAGGCATGCCTCAAACCCACATCCACTGTGGAACCACAGCGTTTACTCACCTGTAGCTCAAACAGCTCATTGCTTTTTCAATCCTACTGACAAGCCAACAATCAGAGCTATTACCGCCAGCAAAATCAGCACAACCACCACTATTATCAGCATGTTCTGTAGGGAACAACCAAGTACAGAGAGCCTGGTCAGGTCCAAGTCTCGGTGGTGAGACAACAGAAAACACACGTAGCTGTTGTGATTTCCATCTGTGTACAACAGGGCTGAAAGCTACATGATTACAAGGTGTTTTAGGAAAAATTATATAATCATTTAGTTTTTTTTATGTACAAACGGCATCATCCTGGAAACAATAAAAAGTTAGTCAAAGAAAAAACAACAAATGAAGGACAGGGAGAACAGTTGTAGGTGTGTGTTCTTGGTCATGGGAGGTCTCAGAGGAATCCGTAGGGAATGGGATGGAACTGGGGTAACAAACTGGAAGTTTGGGAAACACCACAGATCTGATGGGAGGATGATGGTCTTCATGGGTTTTAGCAGGTTTCCCAAAAGCACAACTGTGTTCATGACAAACTAACTGGTACTAGAGATGGAGCAATAAGTAGTTTCTTTAGTAGAGACTATTTAAAGTTAGGCACATACAGCCCAGTGCTGCTGCAGGATTTTATTTCAATGTTCTTTTATATTTCTGAAAACCATCTGTTAAATAAATGCTGGAAAACATTATTACCGGGTATTTCTTTCTATACTTCTGTTTAATATATTCAAATCTTCTCGTCTCGTCTCGTCTTCCTCCGCTTATCCGGGTCCGGGTCGCGGGGGCAGCATCCCAACTAGGGAGCTCCAGGCCGTCCTCTCCCCGGCCTTGTCCACCAGCTCCTCCGGCAGGACCCCAAGGCGTTCCCGGACCAGATTGGAGATGTAACCTCTCCAACGTGTCCTGGGTCGACCCGGGGGCCTTCTGCCGGCAGGACATGCCCGAAACACCTCCCCGGGGAGGCGTCCAGGAGGCATCCTGACCAGATGCCCAAACCACCTCAACTGGCTCCTTTCGATCCGGAGGAGCAGCGGTTCTACTCCGAGTCCCTCCCGAATGTCCGAGCTCCTCACCCTATCTCTAAGGCTGAGCCCGGCCACCCTACAGAGGAAACTCATTTCGGCCGCTTGTATCCGCGATCTCGTTCTTTCGGTCATTACCCAAAGCTCATGACCATAGGTGAGGATTGGGACGTAGATCGACCGGTAAATCGAGAGCCTGGCTTTCTGGCTCAGCTCCCTCTTCCCCACGACAGATCGGCTCAGCGTCCGCATCACTGCAGACGCCGAACCAATCCGCCTGTCGATCTCCCGATCCCTCCTACCCTCACTCGTGAACAAGACCCCGAGATACTTAAACTCCTCCACTTGAGGTAGGACCTCTCCCCCGACCCGGAGGTGGCAAGCCACCCTTTTCCGGTCGAGAACCATGGTCTCAGATTTGGAGGTGCTGATCCTCATCCCAGCCGCTTCACATTCGGCCGCGAACCTACCCAGCAAGAGCTGAAGGTCAGAGCTGGATGAAGCTAGGAGGACCACATCATCCGCAAAAAGCAGAGACGAGATTCTCCTGCCACCAAACTCGACACACTCCACACCACGGCTGCGTCTAGAAATTCTGTCCATAAAAGTGATGAACAGAACCGGTGACAAAGGGCAGCCCTGGCGGAGTCCAACCCTCACTGGGAACAGGTCCGACTTACTACCGGCTATGCGGACCAAACTCACGCTCCTCTGGTAAAGGGACTGAATGGCCCTTAACAGAAAGCCACCCACCCCATACTCCTGGAGCGTCCCCCACAGGGTGCCCCTGGGGACACGGTCATAAGCCTTCTCCAAATCCACAAAACACATGTGGATTGGTTGGGCAAACTCCCATGCCCCCTCCATCACCCTTGCAAGGGTATAGAGCTGGTCCACAGTTCCACGGCCAGGACGAAAACCACATTGCTCCTCCTCTATCTGAGATTCAACTATCGATCGGACCCTCCTCTCCAGTACCTTGGCGTAGACCTTTCCAGGGAGGCTGAGGAGTGTGATCCCCCTATAGTTGGAACACACCCTCAGGTCACCCTTCTTAAAGATGGGGACCACCACCCCGGTCTGCCACTCCCTAGGAACTGCCCCCGATGACCACGCAATGTTGTAGAGACGTGTCAACCATGACAGCCCTACAACATCCATAGCCTTGAGATACCCAGGACGAACCTCATCCGCCCCCGGGGCTCCGCCGCTGTGTAGTTGTTTGACTACCTCAGCAACTTCTGCCCCCGAGATCGGACAGTCCATCCCCAGGCCTCCCAGCTCTGGTTCCTCCTCGGAATGCGCATTGGTGGGATTGAGGAGCTCCTCAAAGTATTCCTTCCACCGTCCGACTATAGCCTCAGTTGACGTCAGCAGCTCCCCATCCCCACTGTAAACAGTGTGAGCGAGTTGCTGCCTTCCTCTCCTGAGGCGCCGGACAGTTTGCCAGAACCTCTTTGGAGCCGATCGATAGTCTTTCTCCATGGCCTCACCAAACTCCTCCCACGCCCGAGATTTTGCCTCGGCAACTGCCACTGCTGCACCCCGCTTGGCTATCCGGTACCTGTCTGCTGCCTCCGGAGACCCACAGACCAGCCACGCCCTGTAGGCCTCCTTCTTCAGCCTGACGGCTCCCCGAACCTCTGGTGTCCACCAGCGGGTACGGGGGTTGCCACCACGACTGGCACCGGCCACCTTACGGCCACAGCTAGCATCAGCCGCCTCGACAATCGCAGAGTGGAACAAGGCCCACTCGGACTCAATGTCCCCCACTGCTCTCGGGACGTGGTCAAAGCTCTGCCGGAGGTGGGAGTTGAAGACCGTCTTGACAGGTTCTTCTGCCAGGCGTTCCCAGCAGACCCTCACTATGCGTTTGGGTCTGCCAGGTCTACGCGGCATGTTCCCTTGCCATCTGATCCAACTCACCACCAGGTGGTGATCAGTTGACAGCTCCGCCCCTCTCTTCACTCGGGTGTCCAAAACATACGGCCGCAGGTCAGATGATACGACTACAAAATCTATCATCGACCTGTGACCTAGGCTGCCCTGGTACCAAGTGTACCGGTGGGCATCCTTATGTTCGAACATGGTGTTCGTTATGGCCAAACTGCGGCTTGCACAGAAGTCCAATAACAAAACACCGCTCGAGTTCAGATTAGGTGGGCCGTTCCTCCCAATCACACCCCTCCAGGTCAAGCTGTCATTGCCCACGTGAGCATTGAAGTCCCCCAGCAGGACAATGGAGTCCCCTGATGGAGCACTATCTAGCACTCGTCCCAGGGACTCCAAAAAGGGTGGGTACTCTGAACTGATATTTGGCCCATAAGCACAAACAACAGTCAGGACCCGTTCCCCGACCCGAAGGCGCAGGGAAGCTACCCTCTCGTCCCCCGGGGTAAACCCCAACACACAGGCTTGGGGCTAACAAAAAGCTTTTTTCAAAGTTTTTTATTTCGATTCCTAGTTTCGATTCCTAGAATGCCGACCGGAATAGGAATCCGCGGCCCATCTCCGTGAAAAGTAAACGTGATCTACAAATTGTGATCAACACTTTTCAGAGCTGATCACACCAGCTGTCTGTGTGCAGCACCGAGTCCCGCCCTCCCTCACCCGGCGCAGTGTCCAAATATAAACAAACGCGTCTGCAGAACTTTTACTCCGTAATGTAAACTTTAACTCCTGCAGCGTAGAGGAAACTTGTTAAAATACGTCAACACGGTGGATTTAATAGAAGCTTTAAAGAACAAACTCTGGACGGTGTGAGGCGAGTTTGTCTCACTGCAGAAATAAAAACACACACGGAGCGTCAGCAGTCAGACGCAGCCGCTCACCAACACTCGTGTGTGTGTGTGCGCGCGTGAGCGTCAGAAGGCTGAACAATAACCCGTAGAATAATTAAAGTCACCATGCTAGAGAAGCTTCTCTGTGGTGGACCACACCAGCTTCTGCCACAATAAATAATAATAATAATAATAAATGACACACAAAGCTGTGAAATTTTTATATTTCTGTTGAGAGATTTAATGTTTAAAATCTGTTATTGTTACTGACAGCAGCTACATTTAGGTTTCACTTCCTGTTCTGACTGAATGCTGCTGCAGCATGGAGGTGTAGTTCTCAGTCATCCTGGACACGATCATCCTGAGAGTTTTAGCTGAAAACAGCTGGATGTTTCTGGATATGTTGGAGACATTTAGCCTCTCATCCCAGAGGCTTCTTCCAGACTTTGGTTGTAGTCAGAAACAAACACACTGGTTGTGCTGCAAGTCTTTTTCTTTTTTTCTCCAAAACATGTTTTTTGTCTAAATGAAGGTGATGTTATTGTGCATAGAATTAAAATTCATGCTGAAGTTAAGATTATTTCATCAAGTAGGACCTGTGGCTAGCTGGCTCATGTAAAACATGTCATGTCTTCAAAGAATCGGAATCGGGAATGGATAGGAACCGGAATCGAAACAAGGAATTAGAATCCGAATCGTTCAAAATCAAACAATGCCCTACCCTACTGATCATACCAGCCAATCACCTGTTGCTTATACTTTGTAGCCAGCAGAAAGCCTGCATCATGTCTCCCCCCTCCGTTCCTTCACCCTGGACATGCACGCAGGAGCAAAAGTGTGAAATTAACTTTTACTCTGTGAGAGTGACGTAAACCCACGAGGGAAGCTCATTAAAATGCGTCAACACACAATATTTAATAGGACTTGGAAAGAACAATCCCTGGGCAGAGCGAGGTGAGTTTTCATTACTCTGCACTAGTCTGTCAGCTGCACTAACCAACTGTATGAGCGTGACCGTCAGAAGGCTGAACATCATACTAGATGCCCTTCTGTGGGGGACAACGCCGAGTTCCACCCATTAGGATCCGCTACAGGTCATGAATAAAAAAATAAAAAAACTAAACCTAATAATGATGTAATGACTGGCTCTCTCCGGTTACCTGGTTACTGTTGACGGTGCCCCACGCCTTACAACTTTTCTACTTATCCACAGAACAGTTGATAACTGCACGGTTTTCCTTAGAATAAAACGACAGCCGCTGACCAGAACCAGAAACAACCATTTCCATGTGGTGAATTTCCCTTCAAAATAAAACGAACACAGAACACAACTCTCTTATTCAAACTGTTACGTAGGGCTGGGCGATATGGCCCAAGATCAATATCACGATATATTGAGGATTTCACCTCGATAACAATAAATGGACGATAACTACAGGTATGCGCAGAAACAAAAGTTGTCCACTAGATGAGGCCGTCACGTGCATTACGTTAAATTTTTACGTGACTCAAGGTGGTACAGCTTCTTAAAGGGAAACCAACATTACCAACCTACACACATCTTTTCATTTTTTTAATCAAATTTATTGACATGGGAAAAATCTCGATGAGTCAGAAATTTTGATAATGATACAATTTCGATTTATTGCCCAGCCCTTCTGTTATGATAAAATTAAATCAAATAAATCTCACAACACAGATGTATTTTTGCTTTTCTGCACCATTTAGACTGTTAAGGGCTTTAATACTCTAAATCTGTTGGATTGTAACTGACATCAGCTACATTCAAGTGTTCTAGGTTTCCTTTTGGACCGTTGCTGCTTTGTGCTGCATGAGTTTTAACTGAAAACTGGACTTTTCTGGACGTCTTACATTCAAGAGGCTCCTTCACTTCTCAATCTTGGGTTGTGAGTAAGATGCTCAGAAGTTGTGGTCAGAAACAAACACACTGATTGTGCTGCAAGTCTTTTTTCCCCCTTATGAAAAAGTAATTGTTAGGCTAGGCCCACTTTTGGTTATTGTATCGTGAACGATAGCAAATAACCTGATTAGAGCATCCCTTGGAAACCCACATTGGTCAATCTCTACCTGCTACCATAACTGCCTGGCTACATATTTATGCAGCTTTATTGAACAATCAGACAGCTTAACAAAACATGAATGGGTTGCTATAGTTTCAGCTACCAGTCGCTGCCCCATCTCCATCTGTAATGTCTGCACTCAGATTACGAGCTTCTTGAAGCTTTCTGTTTGTAGCTGGTGTGGTTTTGATGGTTTTAATGGGCTCTCACTGAAATACATTCCAAAACAATCTGCATTTCTGTGATCCAATGTATCTTTAATTTTATATTTGCAACATGAGACAGGAAGTGTTGGGCCAGAAATCAGGCATTAGGAAGTAGGAAGACATCAGCATGCAGACATCAGCTCTGGGCTTCCTGATTTATACAGTTTTTTTCCCTGCTTGTGTCCAATATGTTATTACTTAATACGCATTTCTAGCTTCTTAATGCAGCTCGTCATTAAACCAGAATGTCTCAGTTGCTTTTGGGAAACCAGGCTATGGTTTTTTTTGGCCACAGTCACTCACACGACGGGCCTCTTGCTGAAACTTTGCAGCTTTCTTAGTGTCTGCGACGGCACGCTCCACAAAGCCCACCGACTGGTCCATGTTACTCTCAATCCTGTCAATCATCCCGCCCTGACAGGAGGAATGTCGGAGGCAACGAAAAGCAGCAAAACAAAACCAATTTATTCAGGAAAAGCGGGAGGAATAGACAACAGACACACAGCAGCACAACATGCTCATGGGAGTGAAGGAGGATGATCTGCAGACAGACGTTTGTGTCCTGATGCAACAGTTTAAAAACAGAAAAGCATATATACACATATAGGATGGAGTCAAAACGACATTACCTTTCGTGATTTGGTCTGGTACCTTAGAGCTTTTTTAGTCTCTTCATTTGCTTGTACTATGTGGTCCATTGACTGGGACACATTCTGCTCTATGTTGTCTACTATGTCCCCCTGAAACACACACAGGACTCAGTCAGACACACTAAACCCTTTACCTAAAGGGAGCAGACTGGTGCAAAGAGACAGAAACGAGATGAGGAGTTCTGTACTTCAGACTAATTCTTATCGATCGATTTTCAAAATAAACTTTGGTAAATTGTAAATCTTTTCAAACTCACAACTAGGTGAATAAAAATCATGGAGAAAGTTGCATAACTCACACAGCACAAACACGGAGACCCTTACCTCAAACCAGCTTTCCCCTCAGAAAGCATGGCATTAGCAGCAAGAAAACAGGTGGTTATGTTCTAGTTTTATAAATGCAGCTGCTCACAATGTGTCAGGTTTGGTTCTGGTGTCACAAATAAAAAAGGATGAAGATTTGTGTCTTACTAAATGTATCAATGCTCCACTAATGTTGGGGAGTGAGATGAAGGTGGTAGAACAGAAGTGGAATGAAAGCATGGAGCTGGAGGAGAAAAAACGGATGCAGAGCGACAGTTATACGACAGAACAGACGGAAAATCAGGATTCAGAGATGAACTCTAAAATGGATTGATGAATAGGAATAAGATCACAAGTAGATGGGTGTAGGCTTGTTTACCTGGCTCTCCACCAGCATGGCGATGTCTACAAACATGTCGTGCAGCTCTTTGATGCTACTTTCCAGACGGACAATGTCTTTATGCCGGGCTTCGATCTCACTTAGGGCTTGTTTAGAGATGCCAGAGTCCACGATCTGCAGAGGGGGTTCATTTTTCTATCATTTACAAACTAAAGTACGACTAATAGCACTAAGCACCACGCTGAATAAAAGCATAAGAGGTTCACAAACCTTTCATTTCTACTGTAAACGCTATAAAATGATGTCTTCAGCAAGGGAGAAGATAGCTAAACAGTCTGATCGTGATTCTTTAACATAATCAAGCAGATCATTAGTGAACAATTAGATCCAGCAAGTTCATAATGAACAGAGCATTTTCTCTTGATAAGGATGAAAAATACAGTTTGAGCTGGATGTGTGTGTGTGTGTGTGAGAACATGGAGTTACAGGGTGTGCACTTGTGAGAAACCAACTCATTTATGCTGAAAACAAGCAGCTCTTTATCAGTGTGAGTTGCGATATGCCTGAAAACGAGCTGTAGCTGCGTGTGTGTGTACTTTTATCAGCTGCTGCGTTGAGTCAATCTCCTAAAACTCCCTTCTCCCAGTGGGAATGTTGTTCATCGTTTCTTATCTAAAATGCCCAGAGTATGCTTCTTTTTTGTTACGTGACGTCTCATGTTTTGGCTTTTAAATAGTCAGAAACAATATTTTTTATCCAACTATAAAAACTCAAATGTACTTTTAGAAAGTCAGTAAAATGGTTGTTTCAGGATTAATGTCCTTATTACCACATTGTTATCTACAGTTCGACCCCATATGAGAGCTACCCACACACACACACTTACCCCTGCAGTGAAAACAGCAGCATTACCACTCTCCAACATCTCCTCTAGCTCTTCATCTGTTGTTGCTTTTCCAGCTGGGGAAGACAGAACAGGAGGAGATTTACCAACAGGTCGTTTTGGGCCCGTCATTTGTCTCCGTTCCTGTGAGCGCAAGTTCAACTTACTGATCTCCAACTGTCTCTGAATGCGTCCTTTACTCCTCTCTCTGAAGTCCACCTGAGCTTCATTATACTTTGTCATTACCTCCACAAATTTTCTGGACAGAACTGCATGCTGGGAGATGAAAAACAGATCATTTGTGCTAAAAATAAATAAATAAATAAATAATGTAACCCTCAGAAAATAATGAATACAAATTATTTGTAAAGAAGAAAATTCTTGAGGTAAACAGACCACCTGGATGCTCTGACCTGTGATTTACGTATCCTCATGTCAGCTGACACTCTCTCCTGCTGTTCCGACTCCAGATTTCTCTCGATGGCTGGAAAACAGCAATAACTGAGATGAATATTTGTTTTTATTTTAAATGGTAAACTGTAACTCTCGAACGGACGCTGTTGTAGACTTACTCTTCAGTTTGTTTCTTGCGTTGTTGGCCTTCTTCTTTATGTCGTTGGTGATTGCTTCCAGGTCATCCTGTGTTTCTGGTAGAGATGCAGTAACACACAAGGTGGGACAAGTTAAACATGTATCACATATATTCAGAAAATAATGTACTCATGCAGACTTGTAACTTATTTAAAGAACTATGGTATAATAAGAAGAATGTGAGATTGTTTCCCTAAGAAGCTGGTTCAGTTTGATATTAACTCATTCGCTGCCAGCGTTTCTCACTGTTTTTACTGTTTTTTTAAGAGTCACAGAACGGTGCGCGCTAGGATGATGTCGATGCCAAAACAAAAACAACTAAAACAAAGTGGAGACTCACCTCTTACATCAGGAAGAATCCGCGCGTTTCGAGCGTTATCTGTTCTTTCATAATCCGTTGTTGAATTGTGATCGGCAGAAGCTTTTCCGGTTCGCGCCTCACTTTTTTATAGCAGAGGCCCAAAATGAACTAACATGGATTTTCTGCTTCCTGATCATGTGATGTGTGACGTATGCGGATGAAGATCGGCTTCAGAGCGGAGAGGTTTGTTCTCTCAGCGCGGGGGCTCGTTCCGATGCCCACACAGTAAAAAAAATGCAAATGACGACTTTAGTCGTCAATGGCAGTGAACGAGTTAAAGACGAATCAAGAATCAGGAAAATTAACTTTCATTTGATCCTTGTAGATTCTTCAGATAAACAGAAAAGTAAATGAAGAAAAGCAGGATATAGTGAAGAGATCTTACTCTGGTCTGATGTGGGAGCAGACAGGATGACAGAGTAGAGCTTTTTGACTTCAGCCACATTCTCATCAATTTTATCAATACTGCTCCTGATGTCCTCGATCTGAAAGCAACACACAAAATCTCCAATGTGCACAAAAACTAAACTCGAAAATATTTACTAATTAAAGTCTTTAAAGAAAAGAAGAAGGTTCCATCTCACCTGAGAGAAGAACTCGTCCATAAAAGCTGCATTGTCCACAGCAATTTCCACCTCGTCGTCATCTTGATCACACGTCTAACGGAGAAAAGAGAAATACCGTAAATCCTCTAATACAGGCCCGGGCCTGTATTTGACTCAAGCTCATCAAGCTCCAGGCCTTTAATGGAAGGAGGACCAGAATTAGAGGCAGGCCCCAATTTCTATTTGAGCAAAATGAACTAATGGTTCGCTGGAGTTTTTGACAAATAAAATTGCGCCCACATTTTCAAAGTTAAACACATTTCTTTTAACAACGGTAGTTTCTGCTTCAGCCCTCTCCCCCCTCCCCCTGCGCAGCAGCCGCAGACTCACTGATGCGCCTGCAGCCTCTCAAGAGTTCCTGCTGCTCTAAACATTAAAATAATTATTTCATTTTCTGTTCCTCACTTCTGATTACCTTCAATGGTGTCTGTTTGTTCCAACCACAAAACTAACTTGTTTTTATTTGACAATTTTTCTGTCCTGTCTGTTTATTATCTTCCTGCATCTCCTCTCAATCCTAAAGAAAAACTGCTACCTGGGTTCATATATATTCACCTTATGAGTTACCTTTGAACTGCAGTTCTAAAAGATCTACCAACCGCAAAAACAGCAGAGTGCTCGCTGCTTGCCGGCCACGGGAGGCAACGCACTGTGCCAGAGCGTTGGTACTGACACCCGCCGTAAAACGGACATTTAACCAAATTGTGACGATTACCCTCTTGCAATTTAACCTTCCCCTCACCCCCATCCTAACCTTAACCAGCTTGCGCATGCAAAGCTCTGATTGTTGATGCGCTCCAGACATCTGCGTCCTGAGCAAGGCCACAGTAACATGATCAAATCAGGTGTCGCCACCTCAAAAACTAATTTAACACGCGATCGTTCATGTTGGCTCATTTCCTTTTATGTTTATTGTTTTTTTATTCTTTTATTTGTGCCTGATGCGTTTCGCTGCTGTGGATCGGGGTGCATCACCTGTCACCTGCTGACAGCAGGCTGCTGTCTTTTCTGTGGACTGCATCTTGCCGGTCATTATCACGTGACAGCGACTAGTCGATGACAGGCATAAAAAGTCACTATAGAGCGGTGAAGTCGACTAGTGACTAGTTCATACAACCCCTACTGCTCCCCAGAGTGTTCTGCAGCATAATCAGCACGTTCTCTTTGAACTTGATATCAAATTTTCGCCTCCTCTTCGTCTCCGCATGTGTCAAAAGTGAGACAGATGACACAACCGCCCCCCGTACTTGCTTGTTACCACATTCCACCCAGCCACAATAAAAATCTGGCCATTATTCACCTCCGCCGACTCCGACACCGGCCAAAATATGATACCCTGCAGTTGATTAAATACAGGCTAATATTAGAGGATTTACAGTAAATCAACAAGAATGTTGCTGAAAATTGCATTTAATTGAAAAATATTCATTTAAAGACAAACATTTTTTACTACATTTGCAACCCAGGATCAAAGATCAACTTTTAATTTCTGATCAATAGTTTTTAAAGAAAATTATGCTCCTTCACTCATTTTTTAAATTCATTTACCAAGCCGAATTCAAGGTGTGTGTGTGTGTTTTAGGGATGGGCTGCATCAGCATGGAGAATTCAGCTGGAGGAAAAAGTAGTTTCAGACATATCCTCTTTGATTGGCTCACAGCAGCACGACTCTACCACTGACTCCATTTGCTCTGCTGCTTTGATGTTTTATCTCCACAAACTACACAAGCCTGGAGGAGTTCTGCCATGTGGTGAAGCTGCTAATGAAAATATTCAGCTTCCAATAACCGAGACATTCTCTGTTTTTTCCTGGACATTAAAGGAAAAACAGCCTTTTCATTTGTGAGTCAAGATGGGTGAGTCCATGAATGTTAAGTGACAGTGTGACATAGATCTGTCAGGCTTTTCCAATCCTAGAGTTTCACCGTCTATTTTCTATCAGAAGCTAATGCAGGGGATAGGTGTAGGAGACTATTTCCATGTTTCCAACCTGCATGTTAAACTGAGAGACTGATTATAATCAGGATCAGCTCTCATGATCCTGTTTCAGGATGTAGAACACAGACAGAGGTGTGGAAAACCGCAAGATTACAAGTCTTACTCAATAATATTCATGACATGTGAACATCTCGTCTCTGATTGGCTAACAGCAATGCAACTCTTCTGTTGCATACAGAATATAACATGCTTAAAATAATCTAACGAATAATTATCACAATCAAAAGGTGGCAGTCAACAAAAACACAGCTACCTGCTCACCCACTCTCCCTTTCCAATGTCACCTGAGCAGGTGCAGCAGTTGAAATAAATCCCATCCATGATCACATGACCATCAATAATGCTCTGCGTGTTTACAAACATAACGAAACACATCAATCATTTCATACACCTATGACAACATTACATTTATGTTTAATAAACTGTCCAACTACACAGAACTTCAAGTCCCTCTATCGTACATTCTACTTATAACATCTTCTGCCATGAAACTTGAATCAGGCTCTTAAACAGACGTTTATTGGACTCACACTACAGAAGGTGGCCCAGTGGGGAGGATGTTCAGGGCTGTAAGATGGTATGATCCATCAGATCTGAAGTCTAATGAACCCACAGCAGAGGTGTGCCACTGTTCCTTTACTGAAGTTAGATCGTTGCACGTTCAGGTTCTCCGTTCAGTGGAAAATAGGGCATGTCTGAAAGGATTTTGTGTTTGCACAATGACAAGTTTCCTGGAAATAGAGTTTCCTTTGTGGGAGGCTGGAGGTTCGTATTACACAAGAACGTGGGCATTTGACTTCTCATTTATATTCAGTTACAAAGACTGGCTGCTATTTAATTATGAAAATGCTACAGCTGGGCTATTCACGTCTGGTCCCGGAGTCATTTTAGCTGTTTCCCTGCTCGAACACACCTGACTCAGTTTCCTCTTCAGCAAGACCTCACGCTCTTCAGAAGCCAGTTAATCAGCCACTGACTCAGACCAGGTGTTTTAAAACTGGGCCTCCAGGACCAGAACTGAATACCCCACGGCTACAGTATAATAATGAAATTACTTCCTGCCAGTTCCCTGTGATGCATAAACTAGAAAAACTGGTCCTATTCTCATCATCGTACACCCAATAAGTGTATTAAATGCTTCCTGCTGCTGAAGTCTAAATGAGTCAATGGAGAGAATCAGTCAGCAAACATGAAGTGGTGCTGGTAAGGTGTTTACAAAAGGGGGACCAGGCTACAGGAACAGTCTTAAAAAATGAGTTCAAACTAACACACATCACTCTGGGGTATGACGCTGTTACACTGGACACCAAGAATACAACTTCTCTGCTTTTTAATGACTTCTGCTTTTCTGATCAACTGTGTTTTTACTGCAGGAGTCTGCAGATTGTGTTTGTAATGTGTAACTGAGTCAAGGCTCCTCAGGCGTGACAGTCAGGTGTGTGCCGGGTCAAAGTTAAGACGGAAGAGAAAAAACATTCAGGTGACACAGCTGCTGACTTCCCTAACTTGTGTCGAGTCAGCTTCATCCTCAATAAGCGCATTACAGAACATTTAGTAGTAATAAATAAATTACTGTTATTATTTAACGTGAAATTATACTGCAGTGTTTTTAAAGATAGATTAAAGAAGGCAAATGAGTCTAGAGTAGATCCTGAAATACTCAGCTAACTGAAAAATAATCAGCATCGTTTTAATAATCGTACAGTCAACACTTCCTGCTTCCTAAAGAGAGCACATCCTAGGATGTCGATGGTCAACAGACAAATATCTGATCACATCTTAAACAAAATCCCTTGAGATCATCTTCAGCTGTTTTTTTTTTTAGAAACAAGAGGTTTTTCTGAACATGAACATTTACCTTTGTTTTAGGGGCAAAGGACTCGAGTTGACATTTCTGTTCAACTTTCTTCTGCTGCTAAAATTTGAATTGCAAATGAAAGTCCAGGTTGCTGTAACATTTCCCCAGACACGCAGGTCTGCAAACCAAGTGCTCCTTTCTGGATGTGATTATTCTTTAAATATACAACATGTGGCGTTTAACATTATGCTCCCTCACGCAGAACTTCTGCAAGGGTGAGATAACAACCAGCACTCACTTCCTTCCACTGACTCGCTCAGCAAAGCAGGGGCAAAGAGACTTTGCAACAAATGGCCAAAGAACGTGCCGTGAGAGCGAGAGAGAGAGAGACTTCTATGTAAAATTACATTGATACTTAGTAGCAATCAGTGGGAGTGACTTTTTCCAAGCCATAAGCACCTTCTTTGTCAAACCAGTGATTATTTATTGGCTGAACTCAAACACAACCATTACTACTGGAAAAGAAAACTACTTAAAACTACTTCAGCTCCTAATAATTCCTTCTGGTTTAAGACAAACATCTAAATTGCACACCAGAAATACAGCAATACTAACTGGGGTTTGAATGATCTTCCTGAAAGATGGAAAACATGATAAATGTTGAATGACGAAAGATTAAGATTAAGGATGAATCATGCTGCAGCAAATTAGATTTTCTAAACCAAAGAACAATAATCTCATACTGAACATCCATCCATCCATTGTCTGAACCCGCTTTGTCCATGTAGGGTTGCGGGGGGGCTGGTGCCTATCTCCAGCGGTCAATGGGCAAGCAGGCGGTGTACACCCTGGGCAGAGAGCCAGTCCATCGCAACATTCATTGCATAATCAACAAAATCTTACCAACACTGTATAATATTCAGTCAGGAGGACATAAAGATTAAAAATTACACACAAGCTGAAAAAAGGTGTACCTGTCAGCTGGAGCATTGTCTTGTTCCTTTTATGCAAAAACAACATCACCTGTATTCAGCATACAAAGTACCTTATGTCACCTTACGTAATTCCCCTCAACAACAAGCCTAAAATGAGGTTTTACATTTAGGCAAATGCAGTAATCCACTGCTCTCTTAAAGTGAAAGTCTACAATCATGTCAGGAGTCCCACTTTTTCAGAACCATTGAAAAGAAAAAAAGTAAAGACAGAGAATTCTGGCTAATAATTCTGACAAAACAAGTAAAAATTCTCTTTAATTTTT